AATAAAAAATATACTATTTTAATGATCACAACAAAATTAATAATAGACATAATCATTCCCACTCAATGGTGAAGAAAGTTAAAATTTGTTTTCAATTTATTAAATAATAATTATTAATTATTTTATTAATTTTTAATAAATTAATTAAAATAAAAAATATACTATTTTAATGATCATAACAAAATTAATAATAGACATAATCATTCCCACTCAATGGTGAAGAAAGTTAAAATTTGTTTTCAAGTCAGTTATTTTAGCAGTTCCATTTTTTTTTTCACTAATCTATTACAGTAAATAAGTAGAAAATATTATTGATGTTGTTTCTTAAATATTTCTTCTTCCGTTAAATATAATGTTTAGTATATTAACTATTACTATGCTATTATTTTGGTTCAGAAAGCCCTTTTTTGTTTTTAGGTACAAAAACAGTTTTTTTCTAAACTAGTCTAAAAACTTGAAAAAAAGTATCAAAATAGTTTGTTAATCAAAATTCCATTAGTTTTTCTATAGAAATTTCACAACAACAAATACATGACACAACATAATTTTAGCCTTGTACCAACCTTATATTTCCTTATTTTCTCTTCTAATTTTGAATAATTGTTGATATCATATTTTAATATTTTGATCATTGCTTTTTATCATTGAATATGTAATTTTTTTGGGCTACATGGTGCCGTGCAAGAGAGAAGGCTGAAAGACATAGACATGCCAAGGACTCCATTATTCTAGTTTAGCACAGGCTGGAGGAGTGATGTAAATATAAAAATCATAGCATAAATCTACAACACACTTTTTTAGTGAAGAAAATTGAAATTTGGTTTCTTCAAGTCCACCCCATCAGTAGCACTCCTCTTCTTCCTTTATTTATTTATTTATTTATTTTTAACTAGGCAAGTAGATATTTGTTTCTAGCTGGTTAAGTTTAATATTTAATTTGTTAACTATTTTTTTATCACTTTAATTTAAAAACTTTGTTTTATTCTAAACAAGCCTAGAAATATTTATCAAAATTTCTTTAGTTTTCCAAAAAAATTTTCAGATCAACAACCGACCATAAAAAAGGGCAAACCTCAATGTTAAATCCCTGGACTTTCCCCATTTTTTACAAAAGCACTTAAAGAAAAAGGTGACATGTAAACCCCTTGGATTTGATAATTTTAACATAATCATGTGTGGTTAGGTAAATTAAATAAATGTTTGCTTTTCACTTGTGTCAATTTTATTATACTTAAATGTTGATATGATAATTCTTTTACACTTAAATGCCTACATTATTAAAACCTGAAATTGAGTTGGAGATGGAAAGCAGGGCAAACTTAATAATGCAACAGAAAATTAAATATCCAGTATTATTTTCATCTGCTCTTTCATAGCTTGTTTTTTAACAAAATAAAGTTTAAAGAAAGGGTTTTTCTACTTGTAAGGTTGATACCATGAGTGTAATAATAAATATATATTTTTTATTATAAAATTTATATTAAAATAACAAATATTAATTTTTAATTTATTAATTATT